ACCCAAGGATGACTTTCTAGAACTAGAAAAAAATGATAAAATTCATCCGGAAGAATAAAAAGTCAAAAGTCTCAAGGGAATCAATGGGTTCATGACTTAGACATAAAGAGTGACAATCAAAAAAAACAAATGAGAGGAGCAAAGACAGATCAGATGTATGGTTGGACAAGAGTATGTAATCAAGCACGGGATAGAGAGGATCACAGAAGGTAAAATGAACAATTTTGATTATATAAAATTAAAAAGGTTTTGCACAAACAAAATCAATGTAGCTAGAATTATAAGACAAGTAAGGGGGTATGGAATCTTTGCCGCAAGTTTCTCTGATAAAGGTCATATTTCTAAGAAACGTAGGGAAGTGATCTAAATGAATAAGAATAAAAGCCATTTCCTAATTGATGAGTGGTCAAAAGATATGAACAGGCAGTTTTCTGAGGAAGAAATCCAAGCTATCAATAGCCATACAAAAAAAAAAAAATGCTGTAAATCACTAATAATTAGAAATCATTTATACAACAGCATTTTAAAGGCAAACAACTTCGCAAGACTAAGAAAGTCGGAGTCCAGTCCCAATGAGCAGCCACTGCCTCTGATAAAGGAGACGCGGCCTCCAGGGGCAGATTGAGACGGATGGGGGGGGGGGGTGATCATTGTGGGCATTTATTTTGCTTGATCCTATCTTGTTTTTGTTTATTTTTTCAGTGGGAGTGAGGTAGTTAAAGAGGGAGAGAAATCAAACCTGGAAATAAAATTAAGTTGCGTTTGTGTCCACAGAAACATGTATGTTCTGGTATAGCCCCATGTCCCCAGATGTCTCCAGCTTTCTGCATCTTAACCTCCAGGGGAAGAAAGAACAAGCCCAACCCTAATTGCTTTGCTGCGTCTTGGCTCTTTGGGATTTCTGATTTGTTGCAGCTTTGATCGTTGTTCTCAAGTCTTTCAAAGTTGGTTTTTGTAAAGTATTCTAATTATATCTATTGTTCTCCTCACTTTGCTCTTGGACTCTGCACAAAGCATCTTAATAATGCTTGGCTTGATGATCGAGCTTTAAGGTGCGCACTAAGCGTTTTACGAACGTCTCATCGGATCCTCACAACAATCTTGGGAACTAGGTGCTACCAACTCCATTTCACAGATAAGAAAACGGAAACATCAAAGTGGTTAAGTGACTGGCCCAGGGTCACACAGCTAGGAAGCGTCGGAGCTAGCACTGGAACTCAGCTCTTTCTGGCTGCAGGTCACACACGCTGTCGTCCGCATTCACTCGTTCCCTCTAAAATTGTCCCTCTCGTTATCTTAGTCTAAGGGCACAGTGATCATTCATTGTATTCACACACTAGTTTATTCAGCCATTCCCCAAATCTAGCGCCCTGGCAGCTTTCACTTCTCCCTTGGCACACAAAGCACCTTTCTCTTCGCTCTCTTTGGCATTGCGGGGTCCCCGGGGTGTGGGGGGGGGGGGGGGGGGGCGGCCATCCGGAATGTTCTGGCCATCCCAGCTCCCAGCTCCGCCACCAGTGCCCGGCCCCTTAAGAATCTGGCATTTGCTGTTTTGGTCTTTGTCCACCTCCCGGTTGTTCACACGTGCACTTCTCTCTCTATATGTTCATCAAACAAACTTGCTGCAGAATGTTTCCCCAAGGCGTTTGTTACCCACTCTAACTTGGGGCACAAGAGGGACAGTTAGGGCTCGAGAAGATCTGGCCACGGAAAAATCTGGGCATCTATTAAAGGAGCGGAAGTTTCTGGCGGGGGATCCGGCTTTCTTTGGGTGGGGTCGTTGCTCCCCGGCTCTCTCCCCCCCATCCCTGGCTGGAAGTCCTGGCCAGGTGAGGCAGGGATGACCAGGAGTGCCCTGGGCAAAGGTTGGGGGAGCTGGGGGACGGGAGAGGGAGGAGGGGCGGAGCGGGCCCAATCAGTGATCTTCGTCCGCGTTTTTCTCCATTCCGCACCTAGGCAGAAAGGCCGTGGCGGCCGCACCCGGGTTTGGACCAATCAGCGACGGGTTCTGTGACACTCCCCTTCCCACTGGCCTCCGCGACTTCCTTGGGCGGGAGGAGGACCACGGGAAGAGGTCATAGTCTTCCCCTTCCCCTCTAGATCTGGACCAATCAGCAGCGGCTCCGTTGGCCTTTGCCTCGCCCATTGGCTTCCGCGACTTCCTTGGGCGGGAGGAAGGCCACAGGGAGGGGCCGTCGCCTTCCTCCATTGCGCGCGACCCCCCCACCCCCCGGATCTGGCCAAATCAGCGGTGGCCTCCGTGGCCCTTCCCTCTTCTCTCCCCGCCCTGGGTCTGGCCCAATCAACGGCGGGCCCTCAGCCCCTACTCCCGCCCATTGCTTGCCTTGCCCCTGAGCGCGGAGGGCAGCACGGACTGAGCCATGGCGGCGTCGCGAGGCATCAGGAACCTGCAGGTAACCGTGGTCGCCTCGTGCCCTCGTGCCCTCAGGCCGGTTGCCCTAGAGGAAGGGCAGAGGAGCCCCCCCCCCCCCAGTTAAAGATCTCCAGGCCCGATCTAGTCCGGGGCGTGTGGCTTACGGTGCAGCCGCCGCGCCGTTGGCCCGGTCACCTGGTGACCCTGCTTAGCCTCAGTTTCCCTTGGGTAAGCCGGGAGCTCTGCGGTTCTGTGCGATCGCAGCCTTTTCCGCTGCCTCCTCCCCTTCCTCTGCCCCTCCGCAGCCAGGGATGGGGGGAGGGGGTAGCTCCCCAGCGCAGCTCCTTAAATCACCAGGCTCTTCGCAGATCGCGGCCTCCCTCCCCACACCCTCGAGGCAGAAGCCCGGGGAGGGCCTGGGTATGTCTCACTGAGCGATTCCTGCAGGGCATGGTCGGCGTGGTGACAGGAGGGGCGTCAGGCTTGGGACAGGCCACCGTCCGAAGACTGGTCAAGTTCGGGGCCCGGGCCGTCATCATGGACTTGCCCCAGTCCTCCGGGGAAGCCCTGGCAAAGGAGCTGGGGGCTTCTTGTACCTTCGCCCCCACCGACGTATGTCTGCATCTGCCCCCCCCCCCCAGGTGGGAGGGTGGGCAGGGGGGCTTCCCAGCTGATGGTGGTTGGGAGCGATTCAGGAGGCCTGGCCTTTCCTACCAGAAATCCCGGAGGCGAGCCTGCTCTGCCCTGGGCAACTAGCTGATGCTTCCCCTCCCTCTTCTCCCCGGCCAGGTCACCTCTGAAGCAGATGTACAGGGGGCCCTGACTTTGGCCAGGCAGAAATTTGGCCGGGTGGACATTGCCGTTAACTGTGCTGGCGTAGCTGTGGCCGCCAAGACTTACAACTTCAAGAACAGTCAAGCGCACTCCCTGGAGGCCTTCCAGAAGGTGATCCAGGTATGTCTGAGCCAGCCCCGGGGGAGGGGGCGGGGCGGGGCCTGAGCCCTGACCTCCAGATCCCAGTTCTCCACCCCCTGGCTCTCCTGCTGCTCTGCCTTCTGGGAGAGTTAGGATCCTGGGGCCCACAAATGCAGCCAAGCCCCTCATCTGACCGAGGGCCAAACCGAAGCCAAGGCTCCTGAACTACCCGGGTCGTCTGAGCCCAAAGATACCACCACTGAATTCTTCCTCCCTGCTTCCCCCCAGGTAAACCTAATTGGCACCTTCAATGTGATCCGACTCGCTGCTGGGGAGATGGGCAAGAATGAGCCCGATGAGGGTGGACACCGGGGTGTTATCATCAACACAGCCAGTGTGGCTGCTTTCGAGGGCCAGGTATGCCAGCCACTCCCATTTTCCAGCATGATGAGCCTGGGGGCCCAGGCCTCCTTCCTTGGTCACAGCTGACTCACTTTCACACCTTGTTCCCAGGTTGGCCAAATTGCATATTCTGCGTCCAAGGGGGGCATTGTGGGGATGACCCTGCCTGCAGCCCGGGACCTAGCCCCCATGGGGATCCGGGTGGTCACCATTGCTCCAGGTAAGGCTCTGGTATCTCCCCAAGGTCCCTTTCAACCCTGCTGCTGGCCCCAGGATGAGCCAACTCTAAACCTGTCTCAGAGAACTGGAAAGGAGAATGTACCCTAAAGAGGTCATCAACCCCTATTTGACGGAGGGGGAAACTGAGGATCAGGGAAAGGGAGGGACTTGGCCAAAGTCAGAACTCATGGGACAGAGGCTAGCTGGGCCTCAAACATGGGTCATCCAGTTTGGAAACCCACTTGTCTTAGAATACTGCAGCTAGGTGACGCTGCAGTGGATAGAGAGCTGGGCTTGGAGTTAGGAAGACCCAAGCTCAAATGCAGCCTCAGACAACTCTTTTTTTTTTTTTTTGTTTTGTTTTGTTTTGTTTTGTTTTGTTAGGCAATCGTGGTTAAGTGACTTGCCTAAGGTCACACAGCTAGTACGTGTCAAGTGTTTGGTCTGAGGTCGGCTTTGAACTCAGGTTCTCCTGACTTCAGGGCTGGTGCTCTATCCACTGCGCCACCTAGCTGCCCCTTCAGACAACTCTCAAGCATGCAAGTCACTGAACCTCTGTCTGCCTCTGTTTCCTCAGCTATAAAATGAGGATAATAATAGCACCCACCTCTCTTCCAGGATCAAATGAGGTTCCCTTTGTAAAGTGCACTCGATAAATGGTGGCTATTATTTTCCAGGCCTGTTTGAGACACCCCTCCTGTTGGGACTCCCTGAAAAGGTCCGCTCCTTCCTTGCCCGTCAAGTGCCCTTCCCTAGCCGCCTGGGAGATCCAGCAGAATATGCCCACCTTGTGCAGACGGTGGTAGAAAACCCCCTGCTCAATGGCGAGGTCATCCGTCTGGATGGAGGTATCCGCATGCAGCCCTGAAGCTGGAAGCCTAGGCTTTGGGCGCCTGCCCTGGCCTCCCTCTGGCAGCAGGAGCACCAGGGCCTCTGCCTTCTATGCCTTAACCTCCGGTGCCTAATAAAGGTCATTTCTCTGGGCTCTGTGGGACAGCAGGGCTGAAGCGGAGCACGTGTTAGTGACACGGTGTGGCTACCCAGAGTCACTTTATTTCCCCACAGAAGCTCAGCTCCCCCACCCTCGCCCAGGGCCCAAGCACCAGGGTGAGGCCTCCCACCTCAGCGGCTGCTGGTGTTGAACTGGAGGTGGAAGTGGGCCGTGGGCTCATTGGTGTACACCACTTTGTCCAGGTAGTCCTTCCTGAAAGGCAAAGTCGGTGTCGGCTCCCACCCCACCCCTGGGCCCAGCCGCCTCCTCCCTCACTCACCGTGCCCGCTGCTCTCGGGCCAGCTGCTTGTTGTACGCGTCTAGGTCCCGCCACAGCTTCTGTGCTTGCGCCTGCTGCTCACGTTCCAGCTGGCAAGCAGCCCGAGCAGCCAGCTGGTCCTGGAGGGCCCACTCGGCTTCCAGGCGCCACTCAGCCTGCAGCCGGCGCCGGGCCTCGAGGCGCTGGGCCACCTGTTCCTTATGGATGGCGGCTATTTGCTCAGGGGTCATGCCCTTCCAGCGCTCCAGGACCACCCAATGTGGGACCAAGGGGTTCGAGGAGACAGAAGGGTTCTCGGTCAGCATGTCACTGGTCAGGTGGTTGCAGATCTCAGTGAGGTTGTCACCCTGCTCCCTCTGGCGGGCCAGACATCGCTGTGCCTCCACCTCTATGGCCTGGGTAGGGGAAGGGAGGCAGCTCAGGGTTAGGGTCTGCCCTAACCATTGCCCCAAGGGAGCTACTGAGGCCCAGAGAGTGGAAGGGGTTTCCCCAAAGTGACCTAGGGTGGACTGCAGCCCCAGAACTGGCATCCTCACCCAGACCCCCCCCTCAAAGCCAGGGAGCCCCCTTTTCCCTAGACTGAGGCCCCTTTGCAGTGTGGTATGTGGAGGCCTCCTGCAGTGGGGTCTGCCCATCTGCTGGGCCAGAGCGGCATCAGGCTAGGGGCAGGGAGGGAGAGGAGTCAGTCTGTGCTCCCAGGCACGGTTTCTGAAAATTTGGATTCGGTGTGCAGGTGGGGTGGGGAGCCGTGGCACCTGAGCCCTGTTGTGATTAGCCACGGCCACGGCCATGGCTTTACGGCAGGCAGCTTCCAGATCCTCCAGGTGAGCGGCTCGAAGGTCCATCTCTCTCCGCTTCTGGTCCCCCAGAACCTCTGTGAGGAGGGAGGGAGGAATCTGCCAGTCACCTGGGGACTGGGGCAGCTGACGAACAGGGCCCTGGCTTCGGCACCGGGGGCACAGAGATGAAAAACACCACCAAGCCTCGCCTGTAGCGAGGCCCCATCAGCGGAGGGCTCCTAGTGAAGATTCTCCTATATTTTTAGTTGAGGAAATTGAGGCAGACAGAAGTGAAGTGACTTGGCCATTAAGTGTCTGAGGCTGGATTTGAACACTGGGCCTAATTCCAGGCCCAGCATTCCATGCGCTGTGGTGCCCCCTAGCGGCCACATAGGCTCACTTGAGCCTAAGGACAGCTAGGTAAGCTGAGGGCCAAAGAGGGGTGAACTAGCTTGTGGCTGTGGCCCACTCTGTGTCTTCCCTGAACGGAATCCTGGAGAGCCCTAATTCTGATATTTCGTAGCCATGTGACCTTGGATGAGTTAGCTGGCATCTCCCAGCCTCAGTGTGACTTTCTACCAAATGGGCATGATGCTAACTACGAGGGTTGAGCACTGTATTGAGAGGCAGGGCCCCAGGAGCTAGCACAGCTAGCTGGCAGTGCCTTGCCAAGGTTACCCGGGCAGAGCTGGGATTTGTGCTGGCCGCTCTGGGAGCGTTTTTTCCTACCACACATCCCAAGTTGGTGAAGAGAAAGAAGGAAAGGCCCTTCCCCATCTATGCTCCCATCTCCCCGCAGATGGAAGGGGGCTGCACCCCCTTAGATTGGCTGTCCACCGCGGCCTGCCCGCTGCTCTCACCCGAGTACTTCTCATCCCTCCTAGCCTGACGTTGCTCCTGCTGACAGCTCAATTCACGACGGGCCTGTTCTCGTTGCAGGCACTGGCGGGTAGCTTGGCCCAAGTGTTCCCCAGCAAAGAGCTGCACGCTGGAGGGCCCACAGTGGGGGTCCAGGTCACCCGCTCGCAGTGGCTTCTCCTTCCGTGGTCTTGCTGGGTCGGACAGGTCAAAGTCTCGGCGGTCCTGGGGCCGCTGCTCCCACTCGCGAAAGGCCTGTACTTGCTGGGCTACCCGCCGGGCACGTTGCAACTCCTCCTTCTCCAGCAGCTGGGCCACCAGGTCACACTGGACCCGGCTGGCATCTGGAAGGGGAGGATTACTGGTGGTTATGGGGACCAGGGCCCAGACCCTTCCCGTGCGCCCTCTCTGGGGCTCTTACCAAAGGCTGCCTCACGAGCCCGCTCAGCATCTTCTCGCCTTTTCTGCTCCTGCACCAGGCTCTTCAGGGCTTCCACATCCACCTGCCACAGATCATGGGATGGTCCCACCCCACGGTCCCCACCACTCTGAACTGCTTGCTGGGACTTGGATGGGTCCTGTCCCACCCTCCACCTGCTAAGATGAAGTGGGTCGAGTCAATTCTTTCCCTCCAGGGAGCTTTGGGCCTTGGACAGAAAGGGAGAAAGGGCAAAGAGGCGCTAAGAAATGGAAGCCCAGCTTCTACCACCTCGCTATGAGACGTTGGCCAAGTCACGCTCTCTAAGCCTCAGCTTCCATCTCTCCAAAATAAGGGGACTGAATTAGCTGCTGAACTGTTCTTGGGAGGTGGGGAGAGAGGGGGGAAGTGCCCTTGGGCCTGGGCCTCATCCTGGTCACATTTCTCTTTCTGGTCCTCTTCCCAGTGCTGGCCTTGGTCGTGTCCTTTCTGGTCTCATTCCTATTTCTGGGCTTCATCCTCTTCCTACTCCCAATACGGGGCCAGTTCTCACCCCAATGACTCTGTTCCGAACATCAAAGATTCGGCTCCGCCTCTGTTTCTCCTGGTTCCTTCGGGCTTCGGTGGCCCCAGCCTGCTTCTGCTCTGGCTGGATGTCCGCCTTATACATCCTGACTTGAGACTGAAAGAGACAAGGAGCACGTAGTGGCTGTTCTGTTCCGTCCCAGTAGCACATTCTCAAGCTAACCCTAATTGTGCTACTCGAGATTGTCCAGTCAGTTCAACAAAGAGTAAACACCTACGTGCTAGGCACAGAACAGATGAAACAGCCTCTGCCTTTTAGGAACTGGGATTCTTTCAGGGGGTCACAACTTTTACACTGGTAAGGAAATACCAAGTCATTTCAAGAGGGAGAGCACACTAAGAATGGGGATGAGGAGAAGCCCGGGGGTTTCTCTGCAGGGGGTCTGCCAGAGTAGGTTTGCACATAATTGGTGCCGCGTGGTCTCCGCCATCAGAACGGGCTTCCTTCAGGGCAGGCACTGATTTTGTCTTTCTCTGTATCCTCGGGGGTAGGCCCAGTGCCCCTAAGCTGTGCTTTGAAGGAAGGGGAGGTGGAATGGAGGCAGAGTTTGGGACTTCTTGGATTTGAGATGCCTGTGGTTGGCAATGACTTGGTGGCCATTAGGAGCGCAGGACTGAGCCCCGAAGCCAGAGGAAGATGTGACATGTAGACTGAGAGCAAGCAGTGGGCCCAGCATAGAGCCTTGGGGGGACCTGGATTTGGACGACGACCCCTGAGTCGAGTGGGAGGAGAAGGAATGAACCAAGGTAAGAAGGTGCCCAAGATGGGCAGCAGTGAGCTGAGGCTCGAGAAAATGCCCCTGAATTCAGGTGGGCTGACTTTGGATGGGGCAGTTTCATTTGAGTGGGGAAGCCAGAAGCCAGATTCACCTGGGGAGGGAGGAATCCTCTTGCCTCAGGCCGGCGGCGCCTGTCCTCAAGCGTACCTCTCAGATTTTCTGTATGTTCTTTCAAGGCTCAGTTTGGGAGGAAATTTCCGCCCGAATGTCCTTCCGCAACATTCTAAAAACGCTCTTAGTCCAGTGTCTGTTTTACAGAGAAGGCAGGAGGAATGAGCCCAAAGTAAGTCAGGAGGTGGTAGAGAGGACCGTGATCCAGTGGCTGCCTCCAAACCCAGTGCTCTTGCCTTGGATTTGGAGCCCGGGGGGGTGGGGGGGTGGGGTTGGGTTCAAATCCTGACTAGGTCTTTGACAGCTTTTGTGGTGTTGGGCAAGCCCTCGATGCCCTTGCCTAGCCAATGCCCCTCAGAGGGCCCTTTCAGCCCTAGGTTTAGCCTCCCGTGATCTGCTTGAAAGTGTCCCCATGATGGCATTGCGGTCAGAGGTTGAGACCCCTCAGAGACTGGAGTACAGGAAGGGGTCGTCTGGAATGAATTCACAGACTCAAGCATTCTTTAGGTCAAGGTGGCAAAGATTTATTGTTACGCTTTTCAGCAGGCAAGGATTCTTAAGGAACCTGTGAGAGACTGAGGATGGAACTAGAGTTTATATGGGAAAGGAATGCCAGGGACACTGATTGGGCAATCTAGAGGTCCAGGTGTCTTTGGGAGCTATGGATGGGAAAGTACAGGGAGGGAGATGACAGAGGTATGGATCTGTGGAGTCTGGCAGGAGGAAGAGTCCTTGGGGCGGCCAAGGACAAAACTCCTTGGGCTGGGCAAGGCACCCCTCTCCCTCTGTCTTGATGAGAGACTGCTCTGCAAGGAGGGAAAGCTTTCTCACAAGACGGGAACTTACTAAGGCATTGGGAGGCTTCCAGAGACATGATCTGAGGGCTGGGGCCTGAGCAGCCCAGCACTCCCTCACCCAGCTTTGTGTGGCTGCACCAGGGAGAGAGAGATAAGGGCCTTGCTGGGGCCCATGCATGAGTAACTGCTAGGCACGGTGTCCTTGGGCTGGGGAGTGGTTGTCAGAGACAGTGTTTCCGAGGCTAGGGAGAAATTGGGGTTCAAGCACAAGCACCCCATCCACGGAAGGCATGTTTGTGTGCAGAGTCTGGGGGGAAAGGGGCCACGGCTGGAAGTGGCCCCGTGGCTGGCGGGGAGGGGGGAACCACTTACCTCTCCTCTACTGTCCTCTGCCCCCCCAGGGCCGGCCTCGTTAGCCTTTGCCCATCCACACGTCCCCCGCTTTTTCTCGGGGCCCCCAGGCCAGCTCCCCTTCTCTCTTCCTCCGCCCCCCCCGCGTGTGCTCGCCCCCAGCCCACCCATCTGCCCTCCCCACCAACGCCCTCACCTCCCCGGTGGCCTTGCTCCGACACCAAGGAGGGCGTTCTTCCGAAGAAGCGTCTCTCTGTTGGCATGGCAACAAAAGACGGGCTGATGGCGCGTGCTTGCGCTCGGGCTGGAACCCGGGAGTCCGGAATCCATCCCGCCCCGCCCTTTCTGGCCTGCCCGTCTAAGCGCATGCGCGCCAAGAAGGCAAAGAGCGCCTTGAGTCGGCGTCAAGGGAGAAGGGCCGTCGGCTTGGGCCTGCTCACTTGCGCACGCGCAGGACGAGAGCTCGTCCTGGAGTCCGGGTGCCGGCGTCTCGCCGGTTCCCCACTTCCCAAAGGAGCACGCGCGGGGCTCCTCTCGCGCTGCTTTGTCGGCGCTCGCGATGGCCGGGCCGGGTTTGCGCGGGCTTCGCCGTCTCCGTCGCCCTTGGCGGTCGTGCGCTCTCCGGAGCTGCTCCCGATGGAGAGCTCCAAGGCCCGCGAGGCCCTTCCAGAGGCTCGCCGTCGTCACGGGACCCGACGGCTCAGGTAGGGCTTAGCACGAGACCACCCCTGCCCGGAGGCGCAGATGGTCCGGCCCTCCCCCCCCCCGCGGGCCCGGCCTAGGTGGTAAGGCCGCGGGAGGGGCCCCGCCTCCCTCCCCACCGCCCTGCCGGAGTTGTGCGCCTGCGCGCCGCGAGCTGCTAGGGGCCCGGAGCTGTCCTGGAGCGGCAGAGGAGGGGGGTCCGCTGCGGGAGCCCAGTAAGGGGGCGCGCACGTGGCTTTTGTTAAGAAAATGACTCGTGGGGTGCTCGCCGTCCCCGAGACTGAGCCTGGAGAGAGGGATGGGCCGGGGAGAAGGGCTGGCTCTCACCGGGAGGTGTCTGGGGGCCTTGACTCCCCATCCAAATCCCGCAGCCCCAGAAAGCGTCGCCTTGGCGTTTGGCTGTGCGGGAACGCGGGTAGGGATTCCCCCCTCGTCCCCTCCACGGACCCTCTCCCTGACCGGCTGCTCCTCTCCACCCTTGGGCTTCTTCGGAGCCACAGACTCCATCCATCGCGGGGCGCTTGGACCCTCGCCTCGATTGCCACGATGGCCCCGAGGCCACTGCCCCCCCCCTCCCCCAGCCTTACCTGGGACAGCAGGAAGTTGGGAGCTCGAGGTTTCACCTGCACCAGTGTCCCCAGCTCCACCGTGGAGCTCCTTGGAAAGCGAGATGGGGCCGGGAAGGAACTCGCTGGCCAGTTCGGGCCCCGTCTTCCGCCTTCCCAACAGATAATGAGTCAGAGGGGCTCCCCTTGAAGACCCGTAAGGAGGACCGATCCCCCACCTCGAACTGTTCGGGACATTGGCCTGACTTGAAGCCTCGTCGGAAAAGGCCGAGGAAGACCCCCGGTGCAACTGCGACCTGAAGAACGACGATGGCTGCTCGAGGCCAAGCTGGAGGATGACCGCAGTGTGAGTCGCTGGGGGCAGTGCCCAGCCGCTGTGCCATGGGCCTTGGTCAGCCGAAATAACTGGAACAACAGTGAGATGGAGAGCAGCCTGGCAGATTAACATGGACAAGATCGAAGCTGAGTAGAAAGAGAAGAGTCAGAGGAGAAGGGAAGAGATCAAATGAGGCTGGGCCTGCCCTGGCTAGATGAGCCCAGAGAGGAGAGAGGAACCCTTGGAATCAAGGTCCTTTGGGCCCCAAACATTGGAGGGTTCCAAGTCAGTTACCCATATCAGTGGACCTATTGTCTTCTCTGTAAATGCAGATGATTGAACTAAGTAATGTCTAAAAGTCCCTTCTATCTTATTCGTTCTCTCTCTCATTCTCTGTATCTGTCTCTTTAGAACACAGGGGTGTGTGCACATGCCTATACCCATACACCCCAAACACCTGAAAAATTAACCCTAAATATATGCCATATGTACAATATGCCACGTGTGTAGGCTAGACACTAAGGACTTGGGGAACTTAGAGGAGGAAGAAGTAATTGGGGGGGGGGGGGGAGCTAGGTAGTGCAGTGGATAGAGCACCGACCCTGAAGTCAGGAGGACCTGAGTTCAAGTCCGGTCTCAGACCAAACACTTGATACTTACTAGCTGTGGGACTGACCCTGGGCAAGTCACTTCAACCCAATTGCCTTAAAAAAAAAAAAAGTAATCGTGGGTTGGAGGTTGTGGGTGATAGGACGGAGAAACAACCTGAAGCTGGGGCTTTAAGGGCAGCTAGGATTGGGCAAAGCAGAGGGGCTGGGTGCCCCCTCCCCTGAAAGGCCCCACTTGCACCTCTGAAGTGCTGAAGGTGGAAAAAAATGGGCTGAGTCAGCTTCCTCACGAAGCCGAGCTAGGTGGGCCGATGGGCCACTGGGACAGGCTACCCTGGTAGGGAGGCCAAATGCATGGGATTAGTGGGGACTAAACTACCCTGTGGCAGCCTGGAGTTTGAGAAAAACAGGCTGAAAGAGGAGCAGGAAGGGGTTCCCATGTGGGAGTTGGCATGGAAGAACAGGAATGAGTAACTCATGTTACAGCTGAGGGAACTGAGGCAAACGGGTGAAGTGGTTTGCCCAAGGTGCAAGCCTAGCACTTTGTGCACTGTGGCACCCCCTAGGTGTTTCACTGGCTAAGAAGAGGCAAGCCAGGGGCACAGTGGATAGAGTTCCAGACTTGAAGTTAGGAGAACCTGAGTTCAAATCGGGCCTCAGACTCTTAACAATTACTAGCTGTGTGATCCTGAGCAAGTCACTTAACCCTGATTGCCTCACCAAAAAGCAAAAACAAAACAAAAAAAGAAGAGGCAAGCCAGGCTGGGCCCAAGGGACAGAAACTCCCCAAGCTGGGCCTGGAATACTGAGGGCCCATCGTGCTGTTAGAGAGGAGATGTTCAGAGACCTTCTGAGGTCCCATGTTGGACTCTTGCATGTCAGGGAGCCCTTCACACAAGATTCTCTCTTGGCTCTGCCCGTGTCCTCCTCCCCCAGCCTTGCCATCATCATCTCGAAGGGTTCTTTGTCAATTCTCCATCTCAGAATGGAGGTGGTCCCTGGCATCCATCTGGAGCTCATGCCATTCTGCCCTCTCACCCCTGTGGAGGGAGTGGCTCCCGGCAACTGTCCCAACATTTATGCCTGGGAAGCCATCGAGATCGATTATTGATTTGAGGACCTGAAGGGGAGGGCCCCTGGGCTGGGAGGCAGCTTCCTGCATACCTGCTTATGCCTGAGTAGGGCTGTGTTTCCCCATTCCCCCGTCCCATCCCTCTGCCACGACCAGTTCTTTTGAGGTACCTCCCCCCTTCAGAAGGTGGGAGACAGCCAGTGCCTTGTGGAGCCAGGCCAGGCAGGGTTCTAGGGCTTAGTGCTTTCTGGGAGGAGAAGCCAGGGCTTGGCCCAGCCCAGCTGCCTTGGTGGCACCAGAGAGGCCAGGCCTGCCTCACCTTTTGCCTCTGCCAGCTGGGCCTAGAGCTTGCAGGACACTTGGACCAAAATGATCAAGGAGGAGAGGAATGCTTTGAGCAGCAGAAATTGACTGGGTATATTTAGGGCAGAAACAGTACATTTTGGCCCCTGACCTGAAGAGTGTGACAAGTTCCAGGAGACATCAGGTGGTGTGGGAGGCACAGGCACCAGCTAGCCAGCTCAGAGTACTGTCTCCAAGGATCTCAAAGGCTTGCCGGTGGAAGAGGGGTCAGCCTGATTCTTCTTGGCCCCAGAGGGCCGGGTCAGGAGCTTTGGCCCAAGGATGAATCCAGCGGAGAGAGGGCCCAGACAGTGTCGACAGGCCTTCTGGAGAGGGCTTAAGCTGGGCTGGCCTTGAGAATTTGACAGCTTTGCCTCTTGGCTTTCTCTCTTCCATATTTCTAGCCCTGCCCCCCCCCAGTGCTTGAGGGGTCTCCACAGCAGGCCAAAAAGGCAGATCAGAAAGGAGCTTTGGTAGTCTGAGGGGAGAACAGGGCCCTCCAGAGTGAGCATGTTTCCAGGGCCTGTGGGGGGAAGAGGTCACTGGCTTCTTTTTGCTTTTAGGTTTTTTTTTTTCCTCTCCAGCAAGGGGACTGTCATCATCAAGGTTCGGCCTCACCGGATGCCCAGATGCCAACCCTGACAAGCAGTAGTGTGGACAGCAGGCCTGGAGCCAGGCACTCCAAGCTATAGACCAGGGCAAATTCTGGCCTTTGTGCTGAAGCCATCCCTGTGAGTGGGCCGTTCCTGTCTTGGCATGGGGTGGGAGGAGCCTGTGGCCTCCTGGAGGGTCACGTATACCCTGAAATAAAGTTGGAAATCCTTCTTCTAGATGGAACCCAATGCCAGTTTTCATTGATAAGCTGTCCAAAAATGAGAGGCAGTCCAAGGAGAGGGCCTGATGACCACTTGGAAGGAAAACAAAGTCCCATATAGACAGGGCTTGGACTCACTCTTAGTTCCCTTCATTGATCAGGGAGATTCTGAAACCATGATGGGAGGTAGTGCATCCTAGGCCCAAGTCTGCCCTGGGCTGCCTGACTTTGGCCTCCTGAACCCTGGGCCCCTCAGGGAAGGAACCCTGGGCTAGACTATAATCCAAGAAGGAAGAGACCTAGTGGCCTGGGATGGGGACTCAGAAGGTTCTAAGCCCCATCAGCCTGGAGTGAGGTAGATTGAGGAAGCTGCCTGGGGCCTGAAGGACAGAAGGGAGTCGCCTTCCCAGGACCTTGAAAGTTTCTCCTTGTGGATTTGGAGTTTGAAGGCCCACGACTGGCTCCCGATAGGAGCAGCACTAGGGTTGTGCCATATTGCTGTCGAAGGCCTTTTGCCCCTCTCTGAGGGCACAGCAAGTTAGGTGGGCCTAAGGCCTCCTCTGATGGGAGGCAGGAGCCAGGCCCATGGCTTTTCCTGCTAGGCTGAGGGCCCAGTGGTGGGATTCAGGAAATGAGATATGGGGCCTTCCTGTCTGGGACCTGCAGGGTTAAAAATCCCTCTCTGCCAAGTTCTTTGGAACCCATTGTCATGGGAACCAGTTTGGCAGCCTAGCCAGTGTTCAGAGCTAAGGTGGGGGTTGGAGAGCCTGCTTGGCAGGCTGGCGGGCGGGTGGATGGGCAGGCGGTGGGTGGCTTTGGGTTTCTTCTCTAGGAACCACAGGGCCTGTGAGCTGGAACTCTCTTCTGCTTTGCCCAGCTCTGCCCAGCCCTGCCCAGCCCAGGACTGCAGAACACAACATCGCTGCCAGGCCATAGTCACAACCTCAGTAAGGTTGGTAGTCCTTGGGCAGAATCTCAGAACATACCGGCTGACCAACAAATGGTCTTGGAGGCCTCTAGTCTGACTCCTTGGTTTCACTGAGCTTGGGGAAGGGACTGATCAAAATCGCACAGCAGTTAATGAGTGCGTCAGTGGCTGAGCTGAGCCTAGCCTGGTGCCCACACTCGACTCTTTCCTGGGGATTTCCTGCTTGTAGCTTGTTCCGTGCCATTGCATGGGCTGCCTTCTTGTCCTCTCTGCCTGCCAACCAGCAGCCTGGACCTTGTTATCCTTCACAGCTCCATCCTGGCTTGACCCTGTGCTCTATCCCCTAATCCCCTAGCAGCTTTCCCTGCTTTGGGCCAAAGTCACCCATCCATATTATTGTTATAGGGTGGAACCCACCCACAAGCCAGCAGCACTGCTGCCCCCCCCCCCCTTCTCTTCCCTCCCCTGTAGCTGGCCATGTGGGTGGGCAGGCAGGCAGGCTAGGATGCCAGGAGGGAGATTGACACGCCTGCACACAAGTGTGTGTGTGTGTCTGTCTGTCTGTGTCTGTGTGACTTGGCGTTGGGAGGGGAGGGGACTGCTTGGTTATTTGGACCTGGCCCTTCTCAAGCCGTGCTGGCCTTTGGTCCCCATATCACAGCAAGTCGCGCTCCTTATTCCTGGCTACCTGGACCTCTGGCAAATTTTCCTGACCCCTTTTCTTAGTGTCCCCCAACCACCAGCCCCTACCTAGAGTTCAGAGGAGGCTCCTCTGCTGGAGAGGACCTCAGAGGGCAAGTCCAACCCTCTCCTTGGACAAATGGGAAACTGAGGCCCTGAGTGAGGTTAAGAGAATTACCCAAGGTCACACAACTAGGAAGAGGTGGGATTTGAGCTCTGGTGTCTTTGGGGACCCTGTGCTGAGGAGGCACGTAGGCAAGTCTGTGCCCCTAATCCCAAGGAAGGAATCTGAGGTGGGGAAGTGGGGAAAAGATGGAAGGGGCTGACAGCTGCCATTGGCTTTACTCCCAACTGTTTGAGGACCTCCAGAGGGGCAGGAGAGAGAATAAGCATCTATGTATTATATAGCACCTACCATATGCCAGGCACTGTGCTAAAACACTTTCACAAATGTTATCTCCCTTGACCCTCACAACAACCATTAGAAATAGGTACTATTATTATCCTTATCTCAGAGCTGACAAAACTGAGGCAGGCAGAGGGTGATGTGACTTGCCTGAGGGCCCATAGTAAGTGTCTAAGGCTGGATTTGAACTCGGGTCCCCTGGCCTCAGGCCTAGCGCCAGAGCTGGAACAGGAGGGAAATGTAATTGCAGAGCTGATCACTTGGGAAGAGGTTCATTCCTCCAACACGTTGGATGGACATGACTTCAGCATCTATACTTGCTGGAGACCGGAATAAAACCAGGAAACACCCTCTGGCCTCCAAGAGCTTCCGTTCTCCAGCATATGCCAGCATGTGCCCATCCAGGGAGACAAAGCCCTCTAACCAATACATTACACAGAGCAGTGTGGCACCAAGACCACCCACCACGTGGGAAGCAGCACCTCGGCTGAGCCCTGGAAAAGGCTAATGGTCGAGCGTGGGCAAGGGAGATGCAAAGATGTGAACAGTCAATAGGCCAGGCTGCATACGTCATGAAGTTCATGATGAGGAGGCCACTGAAGGCAGGGAGCTTTACATGCGAAGGGGAAGAGTCACTTGAAGCTTCTGGAACAAGGAAATGGCCTTGAGAAAATGATTTTGGCAGCTGTGTGGGGACTGAATTGCGGAGGAGAGAGACTGGAATGGAGGAACCACATGAGAAATTATAAAAGTCTGGACGAGGCCTTGTGAGTGGAGAGAAGGGCGAGAAATGTAGTGGAGTAAATGGGGAGGGGGAGAAGCTGTATAGGGATGACTGGTTACAAATCCAGGTAGAAATAACAAGGTTTGGTGGGAAAAGATCGTGAATTCTGTTTTGGACTTGTCGGGTTGGAGATGTCCAGCAGGAAGTTGGTGATGTAAAAGCTGGAGCTCAGGAGGAAAATGAGGACTGCTTCACACACACACACACACACACACACACACACACACACACACTCCCACCTCCCTCCAACATACCCCACCCCCCAGCACACACACACACAAAGTGCCCAGGTCGGCGTTGGGGTGCATTAGAGTTGGCCCAAGCTACAGAGAGGTCCTGGAGGATGGGGATTATGGTTGATGAGAGTAACCAACATTTCTATAGTGCTGCACACACATTATCTTCCTTGATACACCCCACAGTAATTGTGAGAGGTAGATATTATTGTTATAGATGAGGAAACTGAGTCTGAGAGAGGGTTACAGCTGAGAAAAGGCCATCAGGTTTAGCTGTTAAGAAGAGATCATTCATAACCTTGGAGAGATCAGTTTCAGTTGAGTGACGAGGTCGGAATTAGCCAGATTGTGAGGGGTTGAGAAGTGAGTGGGAGGTGAGAAAGTGGAGGCACCATGTGTAGACAGCTTTTTCTAGGAGTTTGGCTGAGAAAGGAGGAAACTGAAGTTGGGGTGGGGGGTGGGGATGATCCAAAGGTACAAGCTTCTAGAGGAAATGGGCTTAAGGGCACAAGTCAGATGGTTGACCTTGGTGAGAAGAGTCCCATCAATTAGTAGAGACTGGAGCAAAAGAGGAGAGAGATGGGGTATGATGTCAAGGGAGTTTGAAGTACAGTCAGGTCCCGACTGATGTCAACAGCGAATGCCGTGAAGTGGTCCCATACGCTATTCAAAGTTGTGATTGTGTAAAATATGGTCATTGGTTCCAGCCCAATGGAAATATGCAGTGGAATTTGAATAATGTGATCACGGGATTTGTTGTTTGCACTGATTGGGACCTGGCCGTGCAGAGTGGAGAAGAGGAAGTTGGAAGTGGATGGTGAGGGGAATAAAGCTTGTGTCCTAGGGCCAGAGGGTGGGGGATTTAAGGGGAGATCAAGGCCATGAAGAGAGGAGAGAGGCCACAGCAGGAAGAGGAGGGAGTGATGGAGGGGCTGGAGGCTTCAGTGAGGAAGAATAGAGATAGAAGGGTAGAAAGTTAGGGTCAGCAGCAGTTTGGGGGTTGTGAGTAGAGAGAAGGGGACAAATGCAGGAAATATGGACATTAGGGTTAGAGAGGTGGCAGAATTGAGAATAACCCTGAGGCTGAGAACAGAGGTGACTTGGAAGGGTTGGGGTGGAGCCATCACCAGAAATAAGGAAACTCATAGGAAAGAAAGAGAATGGGAAAATATCGATGTGGTAACAACAGTTTTGCCAGGTTGGGTTTGAGATGCCATCTACATGCCATCCAAGAGATATCCCACAGGCAGCTGGCGATGTGGAATAGGGCCTCGGAGGGAGATTAGGACCCCGTAGATAGGCGAGACTTCAACCCATGGGAGCTGACGTGCTACCAAGTGGAAGCGTGTTGAGAGAGGAGGGCCCGTGGGAGAGATTTGGGGTACGTCTACAGTTAGGAGTCTGGCTGTGGATGATGGGCAAGCAAAGGAAACTGAGGAGGACCCCCAGGAAAGAGGCTCTCGTCCATCTACGTATTCACTGGGCCCGTTTGCTGAGACAGAGGTATAAACAGATGCTGCCCACAACACTGAACTGACAAACCAGGTTACAGTGTAATTGGGAATTATTTAACAAAATAAAAAAATACAATTGAACAGAGATAATGTTACTGTGTGATTTTCTAAGTCACCGTGCAGCCCCCAGGGATCCGTTGGCGCAGTTTAATGGGCCTTGGTTCCGGTCGAGTTCGACACTACAAGGTGATTGGTTAAGTCCTCTTTCAGTTCTCTGCCAGTCTTAGATTCTTGGGTCCTGCCAGTAGAGGGAGATGGAGATGAATGAGCCGGGGGTCCCCACTGCCAAAGAACTCCCTTCTCCTGGAGGGAGAGATCTGCAGGTGATAGGGCTTGGAGAAGAAGATCCAGGGGGAGGGAAATGGGGGCTTGGCAGGAGCTGAGAGGAAGAGTCAGAGGCTGGGCCTCTAGCTCTCCTCTGGTCTGGGACTCACTAAAGGGAAAAAGTAGGGGACAAATCCTCCTTCTGGCCTTCCTCCTCTCCTGTAGATCCCTCGGTAGCGTCGGTGCTAATTGCCTCCTCTGTCTGCCCCTGGGGAGGGGGTGAGGCCTTGTGCTCTGAGGACATGGCATGTCCCCATCTGAGGCTTCAGCCTGCTGCTCACTGCCCTAGGAGTTGTGTCTCTGGGTTTCTCACTGCTGGACTGCCCCCCCCTTCCCAGGGATTCCAGGGAATCCTAATGTCGTCCCCACCTTTAAAGGAAGGGGTGAGAGGAGGGATGGAAGGTGAAGGAAAAAGTGGGGGCCAGGGCTGGGAAGGAGCTCAAGGGTGCTGGACAGTGTGGTGAGAGGAGGTGGAGGATGGGTCTGGCCTGGCTCTCTGAACAGACCAGGAAGGGCAAAGCAGGGCCTGGAGAACTTAGGTCCAGGGGAGCTGGACTTGGGCCGGGGGGGGGGGGGGGGGGGGGGGGGGGGGGGGGGGGGGGGGGGGGG